ACGGATTAGATGCATGAGAAAATAGTGCATATTGGACATGAAGAAGGGAGCAAGTTGTACGTGGGGAAAAAAAACGCGCCTGATTTAAATGTCACACCTGAACGCTCACATCCTTTTAATTATGTTTGAAATTATGAACATTGCTCAACATCATGAAAATTAAACCTTATTTTCAATAAGCAATCCTGAAAAATATTTGGGGGTGCTTAACTTTTTTCCAGTTGTATATATCAACTTTAATGTTTTAAAAGTTCAAATACTATGAAATTCAAAGACAACTGACAAGGTAATCACAATGATAACATTTATTTATATATAAAACACACAGACAACAGCTCACTATTTTGTAACTAACCTGGGCAGGTCCACAGGTAACACCAATGATATTTTTACCCCCTATAGCAGTCATTTCAGCTGGCTCAGTTCCACTGTAGTCCCCAAGCTGACCCTGGTCATTACGACCCCAACAGTAGAGTTCTCCACTCTCTGTCAGTGCTACACAGTGACTTGTACCCACAGAAAGGTCCACAACTTTTTTACTGCTTAGAAGTTCCACTACTTTAGGGAAACGCACATGTTCTTCACTTGAATGGCCTAATCGATGGTTGTCACCTTTTCCCCTTGTGAATTAAAGAACTGCTGCTATAGAAATCTAAGTATTATAAGAATTACAAATTTTCTCTTAACTCTAGTGTCAAGTTAATATCTTTTTACAGCGTGTTACGATTCTATTTTGGCACATTTCCTAAGTCACTATTTAATTATGAAACATATAAAATCCATTTCAAAAACGTTCTTTTTTATAATTATGTGTTTATAATAAATATGAAATGACAACACAAAATATCAAATTGTAGGTTACTTAGCTAAAAGTGAATCATCTGATCACATAAGACCTGGTTTAATTGTTTGTTTTGGATATTCATGCAAAATTACAGAGAGCTATCTGTACTAATCATCTTTAAATTTTAAATGATAGTCAACAGTACCCACTGCCAACTCTTGGGCTACTCTGATCAAATAGTGGGATTTAACCATCATTCTTGTTATGCACCCACAGCCCCAAAGTGCAAAGTACTCTTTCTTTTTATGGCAATATGACATGAATTGTGAATCCTAGAGTATGAATAATTTTACAAAAGTCTATGTAGTTGTATTATATAAATTATATTTGAAGATTCTTATGATTTTTAATTTATTAAAGCGTGTTCACTGAAGGTTTTATTATCTACAGATAAACTCATAGCATAGATTTTTTTCATATAGAACAACATCCAACAGAATGATGTTTTTAGTGTAAATGAATTTAAAAATTTTTCACAAATTCTTAAACTTACAAATACATCATAAAGAAAATCATTGAACCCAAGTATTTCTGGTTGTGATCATTCTTTCAGTTCTAGCTGGAAAATCAAGATCATTAACAATCGTTTAGAAAAATCTACATGATTGCTACTATACAATAATTAAAATTTATAATCTACCCTCTCTCCTCCAAGAAAAAATATCACAGAAAATATTTTAAGGCTTCAAACACCTATCTCACTGTTATTTCAGAATCTCTGGTCCTCAAATGTTATGATATATATAGACTATATTAAGATACAAATCAATATAAACTGTACTCATTTCAAACTTTACCATGAATATATTACTCCACTTTTCGTTAATGCAAGACTAAACTGGGCTCCACAGTAAACTCTTATAATGTCTAGGCCTTGTAATTTATCAATGATTTTAGGAGTTTTGCATCCATCACTTCCTCCTCGGCCAAGTTTTCCATAATCACCATCACCCCAAGAAAATACAGTACCTGCCAAAAAAAAACAAGTTGATACTTTAATATCCATATACCCAGAAAAAGATGTTTCAGAGGTAGGCAAATACAGTAATACTGCATAAAGCAAAATCACAGTAAAATATATAATTAACTTTATAAATTGTTTAATATAAAAATTATACATTATAATAACAAAATAATGTAAAGTTAAAAAAAGTCATAATACAATGAAAGGCACCTGCAGTCAACTTATTTTGACATCCACAAACTCTTCTTGCAACTCTTACATTGTATGAGTAAAAATGGATATTGATGTCAATTTCAGTTCATCAATCAAAAGTATTGCTTCTATATAATTTACAGTGTATGCTAAGTAAATTTTTCACTTTACATACTGATACACAAACATAAATCAATCAAGAAACAAAATTTGCTGACATTTTACTTTCATTATTAATTTTAAGAATTGCACTTAGATATTTTATTGAATGATTAAGTGAAATATATTCAAATGTTAAAGCATCCTTTAAACAATATGGTGATACCAATTGATCATAATTATTATTAAAACATAAGCATTGAAATTATTAATACCCAAAACCTATGACAGAGATATTAGTAATACAGGGCAATTATAAAAAAAATAACACATTTAAAATAATATTTTGAAAATTACTTGTTTTATTGGAAAAGGATTTCACATCAGGCACATTGAGAATCAAAAGTTTTGTTCACAACAGTTTGGATTTGGTACTTAGTGTTTCAAAACCATACTAGGGGGATTGCAATTCCAAAGTTTTTTCTAAATCCAAGAATTTCAGGATATTAGTTGCTCAAATCCTGAAATCTCACTAGAAATTCTATAGTTTTTATTTACTATTTTGTCTATATAAACAGTAATTAAACCATCTTCATTCCATATCAAACTTAAATTAGAAATTTCTGTCAGTTTGTAATATTTATATTCAGAAGTGGTGATTACTGTAATTGGCAAAATAAAGTACCAAAACCATTAAAAACATGTTAATAAATATCAAGTTAATTAAAACTTATTGGTAATATAAGGTGGAACTATCTGATCAATGATAAAAAAAATTGAAATTCTAGGGTGAAAAGAAATATTTTTTTCAAAGCAACATATCTCAAGAAAATTTTGGAAATTTCACAACCCCAAAAAAAAGGATAAAATACTAAAACAAACAAATCTTTAAAGCCCAAATTAGATACTATTCAATATGCATATCCAAAGTTTTATGTAAATTGATTAAGTATCATCACTGCAAGAAAAAAAAAGTCAACAGGTATCAGTAACACACACATCTGGTCTGAAAAAGAGGTAATACAATCCCAAAATTCTGATACTATCTTATATAAATGCCAGTATTTTAGGAGCCCCAGTAGCATACAATATTTTTGTATTGGGAATTCTAATACAGCAACCTTTATTATGTGCCTAAATTTCTTTTCTTCAAAATAGCATTGCTTTTATTTCTCTTCTTATTCTATTACTCAACAATATGAGATGGGTGATTTGAATAAAATGCATGTCAGCGTGTAGGATATTGGAAAGATCAATTTACACTGTTCCAGCTGATGATGCTTGCAATAGTTTTGTTTATGAGAAGACTTGATGAGAAAACTTTTCTGAATAAAACTTATAATTTTCAATGTACCCTTGCTGAAACTTATTTCTTAGAAGACCAATGGTTCTTCACACAGTTTCATTTCAAATATGGGTTGTTTTTTAACACGTTTACATTTCACATATTGGATTTTTTTAGAAGTATGTAACAATTCCAGCATTGTGCTAAAACTTAAAGACTCTTTTGATGTGTAAAAGCCAGAATATGTAAGTATTGCAAGAATAAGAATTGCCTTTTATAAATACTTGTAAGCTTAAAAAATTACAAGTAATTCTTTATTAACTCTTTGACTAAAGGTCTTAGTGCATTTCACCCAGCTGGTACCAACCAAAATAACCCTGAGAGTAATCATACTATATCTTTTGATAATATAAACATATCTTCATGAAATTTTGCAGGAAATCAGTAAACATTACAAAACTTTGGTACACAAAATATCAGTTTTTTTTTTATTAAGTATTAAGATTTTTTAATTAAAGATTTGCTTGTGAATGTTTTCTTTCAAAATTTTGACTAGTCAACATGGAAAGAAATTTTCATTTTAAGATTAAAAATACTTTTCGTTCTCTAATAATTATCAAATTTTATTTGTGTTATCTCTATAACCTCCAAAATAACCATTAAATGTTTTTTCTTAGAAATACTTCATATTTTATCTATTATTTTCTCTACTGACAAATAATGCCGCCATACAAGTTGTATATCATACTCTGCATCTGCAGCTCACACTACCATGTTGAATAGCATAAACTGGCCTTTACAAAGTACAAATGTCTTAGTATTAGCAAACCAATATTTTGTAAAATAAACTCACATTTTGGTTACCTTACATGTGTATATATTATAAATATTTACAAATAAATTCTTAAATTTCAGTTATTTTGCTTAAAATATAGAACAGTAACTAAAAATATTTAGAAGACAAAGATCTCTACTACTTATGATGTTATGAAGTTTTTATGTACTCGTGTGTCCTACTTCTAAGCCTTGATGAATTTCCCACATGGAGGATATAAAGAAAAAACATCACGTTCCTTATAATCATTTGGTTTAACTAACCAAAAGCAAAAACAGATTAATAGTTTCATTGTGATTAAGTATGATGTTATTACAAGTTACAGCTTTTACAGTACGGAAGATTTGTAAATGATCACACCAGTGATCAAAACAATGTACCTGTTCTAAAAACAAATCAAGTAGACCCAAAAAACCTTTAACTCTCTCAACATAGGGTTCAGTCAAATTGATCGACCATGTAACCTCTTTGTATTCATTCAGTCTTTATAATTTGTTACTACTATCTTTTAGTATAGTGTGTATATCTTCACAAAATTTAGCAATCTTTCAGTAAACATTGTAAGTCTTTTACATATATAAAAATCATTTTTAGTGAAGTATTTTAATAAACTAAAAAAAGATTTGTCTGTGAATATATCAAGTGTTTGTTTTGAGTAGTCTAGGGGCAAAGTAATTTTCATGTTAAGATTAAAAATACTTTTCTTCATCTCAAATTTCATTTGCATAATCTCTAAAACCTCCCAAGTACATTTCAAATGTTTCTTTTCAGTAAAATTTTATATTTTATGTTATTTTCTCAACCCTAACTCTATACACTGTTGATCAATTTTATGACCTCATAACCACCAAAAAAAAATCTAAATAAATCTAAATTATCCTCTATTTTCTTTCTAGAATGACTTCAAATTGTAACATGAAACTACATTCGCTTATCCTATGCAGCTTTAAACTCGTAACAGTATACATCTATTTATAATTACATTTTATTGTTTTATTGCCCTTTTGATTGCTCTTTGAACCATGTCTAACTATTATTCCCACCATTATAAGTTGTATATCACTTGGGGAATGTGCAGCTCACATTATGCTATCAAATTACCTTACCCACAAGTTACTCTGAGCTTCTCGCATGCATGCCTCATTAAAAATATTTTAATTATATTATTATTATTTATTTTACCTACTCTAACCTTAACTAACCTAAAGAGATCCCTATTTTTACATTTTAGTTACTTTATAATAATAAATAAAGAATAAACATAAGAGAGATAAAGTACTTACCTGAGTCTTCTTTTTTTTTCTGTTGACTGTCGATGACATTTAACGCTACTTTTTTTTTATACTAATGGTGGTAATGCATTAATTAATCTTTATTTAATTAAATAATGCACCAAAGAACATAGAATAATAACATGTAAAAAGCAGACAATTTCCCCTAACTATCACAATTCTTCTGGCTTTCTAACTATGCAACAAGAGTCATTACAAATTCATCCAAGCTAGTCATTATCTTTCCTGTGGGAACAAAGCTTGTACTATAAGTGAATTTGACAGTTATCTGTTCAGAACACAACATACTATAATAAATCATTTGATATATGAAAACCTTGGCTTTCTATTGGTTATAGATGATATACAATTAAACATAAGAGAGAACTATTAACAAATCCTGAAAGAGAGGATACGGCAGATGGGTGTGTCAGGAGAGGTCTGATTTTCTATTTGATGGCTCTGTAACCAAACAAAATTTAAGGCTATAAAAATTATGGTTTGTCTGAGCAATGATGATTCATAGTGAGTAATTTGTATTTAATGTTGTATTGGAGGGATGGTGGATAAAATAGAGAAAAGAAGATGCCTAGAAAAAATATGTCACGTATGTTACACAAGGGGAAATTCAGGATTTTTCAAAATATTACCTTGTAAAATTAAGAACTTTAAAACTTGTATACTATTAAGATATAGATTATTAGCTAAGATTTTATACTATATAATTGGTATAACATAAACAAAAAGTAGTTTAATACAATTTTGAATGTAAGATACTAAAACTTTGTGTCATGCACAGTAAATAGGGTTAATTATGAATAACCTTTAAGTTTTTTATCTTCAACATCCATTAGTTTTAAATAAAATAATCATCTTAAATCTTCAATTTCTTTTAAGTTCACATAAGAACAAAATTTGGCATATGCAAGTCACACCAATTTTCAGTTAAAGAAATTACTTGCTTGCTTTTAAGTATGACACGTCTTGATGATCAAATGAATTTGTTTTCAGTATTTACATCTTTTTGAAACAAGCAGCTTTACAAATTGTGCTTACATTAAAAACTTTTAAAATATAAGAACATTAAAGCTTATTCTATGTCTAACAATGTCTGATGTACAGACCTACTAAAAAGGCAGTAAGGCCAGGGACATTTTCCCTGTAGCCCAGTGCACACCACAAGAAAAAAAAAAGTGTATGGAATACATCAAATCAGTATGAAACATTTAAGCAAACATTAACTAAGCCTTCAATAGCCTATGTGTGTATATGCGGCACCATTCCAATGATTATTTGGGGGAGGTACATGCTAGTCCTTCCTCAGGACCCACGATGGCTCTTGGCAGCCCTGCTGACGTGTCTAAACCAAATATATTTCATAATCAATTTTACTGTCCATTAGTAGCCACAGTTCAAAATTAATGATGATCCATTTGCTATTGGCCACTAAAAACAACAGCAAACTACCCAAAAGGTTTTCCTAGGTGGTCTGTGTCACCATTCCAATGATTATTTGGGGGAGGTACATGCTAGTCCTTCCCCAGGACCCACGATGGCTCTTGGCAGCCCTGCTGACGTGTCTAAACCAAATATATTTCATAATCAATTTTACTGTCCATTAGTAGCCACAGTTCAAAATTAATGGTGATCCATTTGCTATTGGCCACTAAAAACAACAGCAAACTACCCAAAAGGTTTTCCTAGGTGGTCTGTGTCACCACTAAAAAGTTGCCCATGAAAATCTAAATTTAAGTGATTATTTCTCCTTCAAGATAAATAATGTTTATGTCATGAGACAAGTACAAGAACAACAAACTTATCCTGAGAATTACTTGCAATGTTATACTCAAATATGAAGTCAATTTCTCACCTTTATCCAAAGGGTTGGATACATCGGCACAATGGCACTCGTAGAATGAGACCCTATCTGAGCTCGCACTCATCTGGCTCTGACTGAGAACATTGTATCTGCAAGCACAGTGGAAGTAGATGCCATGCATGGCACAAACACTGATGAAACTTAGCTGCATGCTGTGCTGTATGCAGTGTATCCTGGACCCCACTCCAGACTGTGAAAGGCCACATTTGCTTTCTAATTTTCTCAGAAAAAATGTGTACATTTTGAGAGGTCATCTAGGCCCAAGACATTTGGTAAACAAGGATATTTCAAACTCTGTTCCAGAGAAATTGAACAAAGGGGTCTTGAAATCCTCAAAATCTCTTCATAAGGGAGGAAAATGTTTTAATTCCCAAAAAAAGGGGTAACATAACTTGAAAAAGCCTTTCAAAGGGGAATAAAAAATCTGTAGTTTCCCTAAGGAAAAGAACTGTTCTGAAATTTAGGTACAAGCATACATGTAAGTACCACTGGCCCCTATATAGATGTGGAGGGGGTAGTGGATAAAGCAAGATTTCCAATTTATGTTTTGATGGTATAAAAATCAGTAAAAGACACATGGATCCAAGGATATTTGTAGTGTAGCACAGCATGGAAGATGAAGACTAGAAATATGACAAATAATTAAAGAAAAAACAAATCTGGTGTTAATGCAAGAAAAAAAAATTAAAATCACACTATGCTAACCACTTTCCACCTCTGCCGGCTGGATCTTGATCGTTCAACCAAATGGAATTCTGAATTACGTCAATCAATGGAGCATTATTAGCCAAGGATTACCCTGATTTATTACATGGGATGTCACTCTTAAGCTTTGCTTATCCTGTGGTCTTTCAGTGTGGACAATAACCTTGAGTTGTTGGTTGCTGTGTTTACATAATTGAACTGAATGGAGGGAGAAGAATGTAATGATGGATGAATGAATGTCTTGAGTCAACCATAGATCTGTGTTGGCCCATTATTTTGTGACAAAAATTTAAAATTCTGGTGGTGATGGGTTGGATTTTATGTATACATGTGATGAAAGTGATTGCAGATGAGTAGCAGTAAGCATGAATGAATTTTGATCATATTGTTTATGGAGTGTAAAGGGTCATTGTTTCATATTGTGAAGAGTGTTTGATTTGATGATGCAGAATTTTTTATTTGTGTGGCTATCTTAGTATCAGACGAGATGTTTTTAATCTTGTGGAGATATATTTAAAATGTTGCAAAGCCGAATGACGAGATATACAAAAGAAAGTATGAGAGAGAGAAGAAATATGACCAAGAAAGAAGAGTGAGGAGTTACAGAAAAGAATGGGAGAGAGAGATTACAAATGCCTGAGCTTTGATGAGGAGAAGAGTCACATGTTTTGCAAAGTTTGTCGAGAAATGAACATAAAAGGAGGTCTGGGGAGAAAGCAGAATGCGTTTTTTGAAGGTTTCGCAAACTTCAAAGTAAACTATCAGGAAACACAAAGACAGTGATAAACATCGGCAGGGAAGTGAAAAACAAAAGAGTGAAAGAAGCAGAGCCTGGAACCTCTCAATTGGAGAAAATGCTAATGAAAATGAACGAAAAGTCTTGCACTGATTGGAACACCTTTTTAGAAATGCACATGCAATTGCTAAGCAATGCTGTCCATTTACAACTATGTTTGGATGTGCAGACTAGATGATGACACAAAAGGCTTGGACGTTGGGACAAACTAATGAAATGACAAATCAGTGCAAGTATTCACTCACTTAATTCCTGAGGTAGCTGTGTTAAGTAAATTGAATTCAGTAACCAAATTCTCCCATATTTAATGAAAGTATCACTATAGTCACACTACAAAACAGGTTATGATATGGAAACCCCACCACACACACAAAAATTAATTTATAAAAAAAAAAAGAAGAAATGTTCACTGAAGCTGTCCAAAATGTGCCAAATACAATGTTGCATAAACATCAGTTGAGTATTTTGATTTTGATATAAGACTCAGAGAAAGTTCATAGACATAGTTAAGTTAACACGAAGACACTTCCAAGAAGAGGTGCCAGAGTTTCTATTGAGCCAGAAGTAAGAAATGTGCATCTGTGGAATCCTTCATTTTCTTTTTTTTTTGTGGTGGGGGTGGTGGTCTTGAATCACAAAAATATTTTCTATGTTGATGATTAATTTCTTTTATTCATGCTCTCATATCTAATATGTAGATATGTTTAATTATTAGTTAGTGAACCATCGACAAACAAAATTCTGCCAAATAAAAATAAAGTCCTTTTCACCTTCCAATCATGAAAACATCAAACAGAAGAATAGACTAATCTAGGACATAGCTGGAGTGAGAACCCGGGTCAGGTTTGCCTGTAGTTTTTCACCAAGGCAATCACCAATGGTCCATGAATGGGTTAGAACATTAAGGTTTCTGAACTGTCCATTAAATGTTTGTTAATTCCTGATTCTAATAATTGTCACTAATTCTATTCTACACCAATGTATTCAAACTCTGTAGGCCTGGTACATGAGCTGACATTTAAGAAGGTTATTACTCGAAGTAAAATAATGGACATACTTATAGAAGCTTAACTTAGATTAGACAATGTGATGATTTCTTTTGCAAATTAAAGAGAGTCCTACAGTTTTGTAGTACATCATTCTATGTAGTTTTTAATTTTTGTGAAACAATATTTGTACCTTATCCAGCACCAAGTGACCTAGCCTAATTTTTTAACACGGTTTTATTTTCTTTTTTAAATTATTTTTTGACATTTTATCTCTCAATGAATATTTGTTGGTATTACAAGTAATAAAGGTCTATAGGTCATAGTACAATTCACTCATTTATGGGTTGCTTCTTTACAAGATACATTGACCACCAAAACTGCTGCCTGGCCACCCAAAAAACAAGTCTTGGTGGTCTGGCTGGTTACTAAAAAAAAAAAGTTAAGCACAAGCCCTTGTGGTACATAGTTGTGAAAAAAAAACATAATAAAATGAAAAATGGGAGGAAAGCATTATACATTATGTTATGAGAATCTTTTTTTAATCGTAAGCAAATGCATTTTCAAATTCTGTAGAAAAATGTACAAAAATGGTGTTTCAGTTTATCTATACATTGTAACAATTCCATAGTATTATAACTACCAAAATTCTAAACAGACTGATGATAAGCTCTGGTATTTAACAAAAGTACTTGATAACAAAGCTGTTAAAATTCGATATGAACAGTTCAATCCTATAAACTGAAAAAAGCTAGCTACTGCTAAAAGAAATCACTTTTCTCCAGTTAGATGAAATATTTTTATTCTTAAGATTTTGCTGAGTGACGAAAAGAAAAAAAGAAAAGCAATCTCACTTTTAAGACTTTATTTAATATGAATTTCATAATGTGTTAAGCAAATGATCTCCTTGAAACTTAGGTTTTTTTTACACTACCTGAATCAGTGACAGCCAGAGTCTGTGCATCACCACTACCACAAGCCACATCAACCACAACATGACCTTTCAAGGCTATCACCAGTGTTGGTGTATTATGATCTTCACTGGTGCCTAGAAAAAATACAAGGGCCTATTGTAACATTTCCCAAAATACTTAAATATAATACCTAAAGTGGATTCTACAAGTTGCTTACCATTTTTAGGTGTACAGAGTAAGAATTTATGCAGCTAAAAGATATTAACTGTGTTACATTTTCTGGTTTTAGAGTTAAAACTTTTTCTAACTTGACATCTATCAAGTTTAAATCATTACACCCTGGAAATCTTAATAGGATTTTTGATCTTGAAATAATGACGAAGGGTTTACTAAAATTCTTCATTCAAACTCAAGTAATTTAGTTGTTTTAAATCTGTACACATAGTCCTTAATCTAAATTAGCTATGATTTATCTAAGTGCTTAAAAGAATGGTTTCATAAAACTGAAACTAACAAATAGGTTGTGAAAAAATACTATACATATATACATACATATATTGAAGAGTTTCATGCAGTGATTTATTTATATATATAAAAGTTTGTTTTGAATTTCACGCAAAGCTACATGAGGGCTATCTCTGCTAGCCAGGTTTTCCTGATTATGACAAAACGTTGTACATTTGCTGTTATGTTAAACTTATATTAAAGTTTTTCTTCATTACCCATTCAAGCCGTCTCCAGCCATTATAGTCAATCAGAATCTCTTGCTTTTATGTGTTTTGCAGTTCAGTTGCCACAGGCAACAACAATAATGAATTAAACTAAAACTTAACCATTTTTTAATAAAAATGCAGCAAGTTACTTTAACACACATTTTGACAAAAATGTCATTGGTTGAATGTGCCATACTACCTAGTACACTTTTATATGTGACAGTCTTGTATTTAGTATACAAAGACAGGCCATTTTTATGAAGAATCTGCACTTTAAAAAATGTCCCCATGGTGACAACACACATTCAAGTTACTTTTTTAAATACTTCAGCCCAGACCAGAATAAAGTCAAATCGTGTATGTTTATGATTTGCTACAATGCCATTTTTTTATACGTAACTCATGTTGTTGTACAAAAAGTAGGATACCGTGAACTAGGCAAACTACTGATCTTATGTAAAACACACTCATGAATTAGTGGGAGATTTCAAAACTTGTGAATCAAATTAGCAATTTCTATATCAATCTCACTTTAACTCTCTCGCTACGGGCTTGGTCAATTTGCCCAAGTTCATGACCCCAAATTGACCTTTAGAGTTCCCATATTATAACTTCTGATATGTTTTGTGTATCTTCAAAAAATTTTCACAAGCTTTCAGTAAACATTAAAAGTCTTTTGTAGACAAATATTCAGAATTTTTAATGAAGTATTTTTACCAAATATTTCTCTGTGAATAAATGGAGACAAAATGTTAGCTGCTCTTAGTGCAAAGTGGTTTTCATGTTAATATTAAAAATACTTTTATTCACCCGAAAATTCTCAAATTTCATTTGTGTAATCTCTAAAATCTCCTAAGTAAATTCCAAACGTTTTTTTGGTAAATCTTTATATTTTATGTTACTTTCTCTACCCTAACTCTAGATGCAGGGTTGGTCATTTTGACTGATCTCATAACTACCATAAAAAAAGTACAAAATAAACATAAATAATCCTTTTTATCTTTTTAGAATGACTTCAAATTGTAACAGGAAACTACATTTACTTATCCTAAATATCTCAAAGCTCATAACAGTATACATCTGTTTTTGTTTAAATGTTATTGTTTTATTGCCCCTTTGAACTGTGTCTAAATAATAATCCTGCCTTACAAGTTGTAAATCACTCAGCGAACATGAAGCTCACATTACCCTATCAAATTACATAACATGCAAGCTACTTACAAGAGTACCTTGTGAAATTTTTTCTTTATCTTACATAAAGAATACACATGAAAAACAAGAAATAAAGTACTTACCCAATACTTTTTTTTTCCGTCGACTGTCAATGAAAGTTAACCTTTATTTTTTATACTAATGATACTACAACAATAAGTAAATTTTTTATTCAATTAAATAATGTACCTAAGAAAGAATAATAACTCATAAAAAGCAGGCATTATCCTATAACCATCATAATATTTCTGACTTTCTAACTATACAATAAGAGCTGTTAATAATTCAGCTAAACTTATCAATGTGTTTCCCATGGGAATAAAATTTGAACTGGAAAATAAATAGACAATTCTCTTTACAGAAAAGAACACAATATAATACATCATTTGATAGATTAAACCTTGGCTTTCTATTGGTTGTAAATAATGTAGTATTAAATGTCAGAAAGAACTACTGGCAATTTGTGAAAGAAAGGATGTGACAGGTGGGTGTGGCAAGGAGGTCAGAATCTTTAGTTTATAGCTCCATAAACAAATAAGATTGAAAGTTATTAAAATTATGCTTTGCCTAATTAAGGACTATATTATAATAAGTAGTATACATTAAATTCTGTAGTTCTCGGAGGGAATACCTAGAGAGCAAATGTCACAATTCTCATACTAAGGGAGAGAGTGAGAATTGTTTTAAATATCTAACCTTAACATTTTAATATTTCCCTTATGAAATTATGAATTTAAAACTTACATAATATCAAAATTTTATTTGCTAACTACATTTTGATGTCAAGTTCATTTGTATACCATGAAAATAAAGTAGTTGAATTAAATTTTGAAAGCAACTCTCTAAGGAGTCGTAACATGCACTTTTTAACCAGCCCATAGCAAGAGGGTAAATGCTTCTATGCCTTAAAAATTAAGTTAAACAAGAAATAAAACCATGTCCAAGTCGTCCATAGTTTCCTCTTCCCCAGGTGTACAGCTCGCCATTGGCAGTGATGGCAGCACTGTAGGCACTGCCACAGGAAACATGTGTAACAAACTTTCCACATAGTCCTTGGATTAGAGCTGGATCTTCCCTGGAACTATATAAAACAGTCATCTTTACAGGTTAGAACTATTATTTCACACTTACATATCAGTAACAGCTATCTCCATTTTTTGTTTCATACTAGCTTTATATATAATTTTTTAATATTCTGATATGCTTAAATAACATAAAATTTGTACAACGTAAAGATTAGCATACATCAAGTAAATATAAAGACTTCCAGTTTCACTAAGTTACATATAGTTTCTCTTCCATTTTTTTTTTTTTATTTATTATTGTCTTTTTATGAGAACATATTTAAAAATATGAAATGGCACTAACTTCTCTCCATGACCAAGACGACCCCCATCTCCATTTCCCCATGAATAGACTTCTCCTTCACTAGTTAAAGCAAGGTAATGCTTTCCATCAGGATGGCTAGCAATTTTCACAACCTCCTTGTCTAAAAGCCCTTCCACTAACTGAAGACACTAGGAAAAATTACATGACTTATGACACAAGACTTACTTTATGAAATGCTGATTTTTATAAAATTGTCACTTTTGACTGACTTTATACACTTAAATAAAAGTGCCTGCAGCTACAATAAGCCATTAATAAAGGTCAGTCAGTGATTAAAACTATAAATTTTGTTTGGTTGGTTGGAATATTCATGCAAAGCTATACCTGGTCTATCTTCACCAGTTGTCCCTATATTTTAACTAATAGAATAGATGGAAGGCAGCTAGTCAACAACCCCCACAAAAAACTCTTGGGTTACTCTAATCAAATAGTGGGTTTTGTCAATCACTCTTAAAACACACCCATAGCAAAGACCATGATCTTGTAGCAAGGGGACACAAACTTCTGACCCTCAGGTTCATAGCCCAGTACACTAACAACAAGGCCATAGAAAAGTGTAAGATAACAAAATTCTAAAATTCATAAAGAATTTCCCCTAACTGTTCATTTCTATCAGCTTACAAAATACTGCTTCTGTTAACAATAACAGTTACATCTGCATTAATAGCAGCTCTTAAATGCAAAAAATATCATACCAAAAAAAAAAACTGAAAAAAAAATTAAACAAGAGAATAGCTGTTAAAAACATATTTTATAAAACAACGATTATTTTATATACAATTCTACAAATGAGACTGTTTCCAGCCTCAAAATTAAAATAAAATACAAATAACTTATTGTACAGGGTAAGAAATAAAAAATCCGATGAGACTAGAATTGTGTATCAAATAATCGTTGTTTTATAACAAGCAAGCTTTAAACATTGAACATTACAGAAGCACCAATGAATTTTAATAAGAGTATAGCTAAACAATCAACCAGACTTTAACTCTGAATTCATAAATTTAGTGTGTGTTTACAACTTTGGAGAGAAGTCAGTAATACATTTGTAAAGAAACATTCACTAAAATAAAAATAACTTTCTTTATTGAATTTCATCACATCATGCAGAGAGGGAGCATAAATCAAAATTTTCAAGATTTTAAACTTAAAATAAATATGAAACTGCTCAACTTTAAACAAGCAACCTGAAAATACATTCAGAAAATGAAACAAAGTCATCCAAAAATTTCTGGTTATTTTTATTAAATACATAATAATATTAAGCACAACAACATCAATGTCTCTATATAGTCTTTTAATATTTACTCATGGTGTTAAACCTATTACAGTCAAGACATAATTTCTAAAAATCTCTTCAGAACATTTTTCATATTCTCCTCTTGCTTTAAGTACTTAATGGAAATTGATTTCTGTTGGTTTAATTTCCAATGCTTATTTAAACATGCAAGTGTTTTTTCTTATAGCAAAGTGACTTCGGGTTATCTGCTGTGTACAGTGAGGGGAATCAAACCCCTGAGTTTAGCATTGTAAATCTGTAGACTTACCACTGTCTCATTGGGGGACTCTAATTTATGCTGAAAATAAATCTTATTTTCCAGTTATATTTGAAAGCTCTATGAAAGGGCAACTTGTATAATAATATATTTTGCTTTATACTTCTAACAACTTACCATGACCTCACTGTTATAAACAGTAGTGTAAACCCTTCCTGACTGGCTAAGAATTAACAAACAAGATTCTGCACAACTAAGCTGAGCAACCCCAACTTCAGAAATAGCCTCACAGAGCTGTGGAGTAACTCCTGTTTGGGCAACATTCCACCCCAGAGAACCCCAACAATAGACTTCTTGACTTGATGTAGAAGTAGGGCACTGATATAAATGTTAAAATAACATCCATTAATTTCAAATTACATGTTAAAATGGTCATCATGTAAAATGTTAAATCACCAGTATTCATGCTGGATGCTGTTTTTTAAAACCCCTCTAGGTGCTTTGGCACAAAAAGAAACACACTAAAAATCATCAGTTTTGTTCATTAAACAAATCAAATAACCTTAAAAAGTTGCTCCTAAGAAGAAAAACCACAATTCCAGTAGTTAATACCACTGAAATTATTTTAAAACTAAACCAATTTTGTACTTTAAATGCAGGGTTTATTTAAGAGAAGGAAAAACAGTTAACATTATTTAGTTAGGGAGCTAATAGAAAGTAAAAAAAAAATTAAAGACTCAAAATTGTAAGTGTTCAAAACTATAAAATAATACACACAACTCTAAAAAAACTAGATATGAATATATGATATTATTGACAAATATTTCAACCCACTACATTTAATGACTCATATCACTGAAGTATATATATTTGGAACTGGGGTACTTACTGTATGGTCTTATTCTTATGAAATATCAATCTCTAAGATACAATTTATGAGGCACAATTTCAGTTTCAATCATTGCTTTTATGTCATTCATTTCTCTAAAAATTGTACAAACAGTATATAGATATTTTAGATTAGTTTTTTGCAAGTTCCTACATACAATCATATTAATTATTTAGTTTGGCCTCAACATTAAAACTTTTTACTAATTTTTATACTTTAATAGTATGCTTCACTAACCCAACAGTGACACCTAATTTAAATGTAATCCCCCCCCTCTGTTACCATTGAACTATCTCCACTTGGAAGGTACGGTTTTGCAAGTCGATCCAAATGGGACATAACCACCACTGCAGTCTCTCGTAGGTCAACTGCATATGTATCATCTTCAGGTATTACCAAAAACTTCAGGAAACATTCTGTAGGGTTCACAATAGCTGGTGTATTCTGAAAAAGTCCCAGTAAATGAAAACTATATATATTAATATTTATGTAAATGTTTGTGTCTTACAATCTTGTGAAGAAAGGACACAAAATTTAATACAGCAAAAAAAGGAAAGCAACAGAAAAATTTAACATGAAGGAAAATAATTGCTAGAAGTTAACACATATTTATGGCTAAGGGTAAGATGGTAACCCACTGAATTAGCACAAAGCTATTTGAAGGCTCTCTGCATTGGTCTTCCCAAATGTTAAGTGACAGACTATAATGAAGGCAGCTGGTCAACACTACCCACCACAAAAACTCATGAAATGTTCTAATCAAATAGTCAGAGTTAGCCATCACTTTTATAATGCATCAAACAACCCCAAAATGCAAAGTGTGGATTTTTGTTTTAGTAGTAATGAGACACAAATTACAAAACTTCAGATCCATAGTCTGGCATGCTAACCACTGTGCCTCACTTCGTCCCCAACATTCAATAAATCCTTGTTATATTTGTGAAACTTTGACACAAATAACATTATTTCTCACACTTATGAAAATTTGTTTTTGTGTAATGTTTGTGTAAAAACATAATTTACACACATTTCAACCTGACAATGTTAAGTTCTCAACAGAGAAAAAAATATAAACCACCACAAAACAAAGGAATTAATAAATATTCTGTTATACAATTATATTTTTTCTAATCTATGTTTCAAACTCCTAAGGTTGAACTGCTGTATACCTAACATTATCATGTAAGATATTAGAAATTGTTTTGTTAATTTTCTTAATGATTATTAAAATTTTAGCAGTAGGTAATACATAATACCATGTAAAATCTAAAATAATGTTTGAGCCACAATTTTGGAACAACAACAAATTGGTTTTTACTCTCTCAACATGAGCTCAGTCAATTTCACGGACCAAATGACCTCTTTGTACTCAGTTAAAGTCTTTATAGATTTAATACTTCTAACTTTCACAGTCTTTCAGTTAACATTATAAGTCTTTCACATACAAAAAATCTTATTTTTAATAAGTATTTGTAATAAACTAAAATAAAGATTTGTCCACAAATATATTGAGTATTTGTTTTGAATGGTCCGTGTGAAAGGTACTTTTCATGTTAAGATCATAATTATTTTTCTTCCTATCAAAAATTTTAAATGTCAATTTGACTGACCTCAACCACCAAAAAAAATCTAAATAAATCTAAATTACCTTTTTTTCTTTCTAGAATGACTTCAAATTATAACATGAAACTTCATTCATTTATCCTAAGTAGCTTTAAGCTCCTAACAGTACACATCTATTTATAATTAAATCTTATTGTTTTATTGCCCTTCTGATTGCCCTATGAACTTCCCTAACTATGATCTGAGCCATTATAAGTTGTAAATCACTCGGGGAATGTGCAGCTCACATTACAGTATCGAATTACATTACTCACGAGCTACTTTGAGCTGCTCGCATGCGTGTCTCATGAAATGTTTTTATTATATCATTATTTATTTTACCTAATCTAATCTTAACTAACTTAGAAAGATCCCTATTTTTACATTTTAGTTACTTTTATAATAATAAATAAAGAATAAAAATTAAAAACAAGAAATAAAGCACTTACCCAATCTTTTTTTCTTGCTGTTGATTGTCGATGACACTAAACCTTACTTTTTATACTAATGGTAGTAATACACTAAATAACTTTTATTCAATTAAATAATTCACCAATGAATATAGAGTAATAACATGCAAAAAGTAGACAATTTCCCTTAACTATCACGATTTTCTGGCTTTCTAACTATGCGACAAGAGCCATTACAAATTCATCCAAGCAAATCGTTATCTTTCCTGTTGGAACCATGCTTGTACTACAAGTGAATTTGACAATTATTTGTTCATATATGAAAACCTTCTATTGGTTATAGATAATATATAATTAAACGTAACAGAGAACTATTAACAAATTCTGAAAGAGATGATGTGACAGGTGGGTGTGGCAGGAGAGGTCTGATTTTCTATAACTAAACAAAATTGAAGGCTATAAAAATTATGGTTTGTCTGAGCAATGACGATTTTATAGTGAGTAATTTTTATTTAATGTTGTACTGGAGGGGTGGTGGGTAAAATAGAGAAAAAAAGATGTCTAGAGAAAATTTGTCACTTGTGTCACACTAGGGAAAATTCAGGATTGTTTTTTAATATTGCCTTGTAGTTAAGAACTTAAAATTTGTATACTATTAAAATATGGATTGTTAGCTAAGATTTTATGCCATTCTAATTGGTATAACATAAACAAAAAAGCAGTTGAATAAACTTTTGAATGTAAGACACTAAAACCCTGTGTCATGTGCAGTAAAGGATACCTGTGGCAAAAGTGTTAATACAATTTTCAACACTTTCATGTGTTCTCTTCAGGCCAATGATTATTCCTTGAGAGAAATACATAGTGTTTATTTTATAATGGAAGTCTCAAGTCTCTTAACAGTGTATGATGTCAGAAATTAGTTCAGCATAAATTGACCTTCACTGGCATATGAAGTTCAGCAACCTCTGGATTTTTCTCTCTACATAATTTACAGTTTTATATATTACTTTGGCTGACTTTCAGTTGATTTTATGATCAAAATTCTTCAAGGATAGAAAAATAGTATTAATTGTCAGACTATTTTCAACATCTTTTTCATGTTCTGCAGGTCTTGTTAAGCTCAACCAATTAACTACCAATGTATCCATCTACTAGTTTTTCATGTCATCTAGATTACATGTACACTCATTGTAGTTGCTATACCTGATGATGCAAGGTCAACCTGATGAAACATTGTAACCATATATGTTATACTCTGTGCATCCAATAATAAATAAGATTCAAGTTCTGAATTTTCTTTTTCATAGCAAACCAACATCACTGAATATACCTGATGAAGGTATCTTATTATTTGTCTAAACTTCTGACAAAAACTTCAGCTACTTTTACACAACTGAAAATAAATGCTGAACCGTTACATTTCACTTCTTCAGAAAAGCTACATCAGTTTGTAAACTGAAGAAGTGAGAAATATTTGTTCAGGATTTCTTTTCAGTTACAAAATGAAGCTGAAATTTTTTCAGAAGTTTAAACCAGTATGGTTACTTTGAATTATACATAATCCAATTTTCATACTGGCTGTACTTTAACAGTTCCACAGTAAACAAATACAAACAACAACTATTTTTCCAAATTAAAGCTAAAGTAAATACATAGAGAAAATATGTAATTATTTGATAATGAAGCAAAAATCACTGTTTAAAACCCAAGATCTATATTTTACCAAAGATTAAGTTACAAATCACCAAAACATTACCATAAAAAATATTTAAAATTTTTTATTTTCAAAATATTCATTGATTATCCAAGAAAGGCAATGAGAGATAAATTCTGTATAACACACCAACAGATAAAAACATACCATTGTACTTTTTAAGCATATAATTAAAAATTAGCTCAAACATACATAAAACTTCTAAATATTTTTCCAAACCCTCTATACATCTTTAATCTTGTAAAGTACATTTTTTAATATCTAACAGTTAACAATAAGTGAAATAAAAAAATAACTTGTATGCAAAATAATATAATAATAATTGAAATTTAGAATATTAGGTCCTACATGTACAGAAGGCCCAAAGTTACACCTTCGTTTGATATGTATACAAAATATTAAGAGATAAAATATTAATTAATGGTACTTTCAACCTGAATAGCATCTTATTTGCACACTGGCTAAATGGTTAAGTTACAGGTTCTTTGGATTCAGCTATAGATATCCATAACTTTCAATTACTGACCAGAGCGAAAGAAGCCAGACAGCAGTACCCACTGACACAGGGGCTTCGTCTGACTCCTAGAACTGAATAACGGAATTAAATGTCATTTTATAATGTGCATACACCTCAACATAGTGATGGGGTTAAACACTGATAGTGGTTGTCATAAAAACAAATTGTATTAAATTGAAGCTAACACAATCAAATGTTTTGATATTAATACTTAAACAAAAACTCAATAAAAATATTCTACCTTTAACTTTTAAAAATACTCATAACCGAGTAGTTCCTATGAAATCTTTTAAAAATCCTCCATTCTTTCATTACATACATAATAAAGTTCATGCAGTTTGATAAACCTATTTGAAATACATATAAAACAAGCCTCAATCTTAACTTCTGAAGACAAATTCATGCATGTTACTAGCAACAATATTATTATCCTCTCAAATTAACTAATTGTGTCATAATTCCTTATTTCATGTATTAAATATTGATAAATATATATATCTATATTATTTTAGGTATAAATCTGCTGTGTCATGTTTTCTTATCAAAACTCACTTTAATTATATGTAATAATGTTTTCATTTTAAATATTTTACAAAAGTTAAAAAGATGCTTGTTTTGCTGAAAAATAGTGTCTCTAGGCCATCAACAGTCTACAGTACCCAACTGCTGACAGCTACAATATACTGAAAAACTTATTTTATTATTAAAAGTTAACATTTTTTAAAACTGAAAATGCAATGTATTTCCAATCAGCAGAATCCTCACTTTCGAGAATTGGTAGAAACACTGGCATATCAGTGGGGAAAAATGGTGGGAACTAGGTGAGAGGAGGAAAGTGCCTATCAGAAATATATTTTCAGTGTCAGAAAATGTTAACTTTCAAAATGTTACAACCTCCTCTCACCCAAAGCTAGAATCCCACATTGCAAAAGGGGAGGGGCCAGTGAAGGTTCAAGAATAGTCAAACAACCAAAGAACAACTGCTGTGAAAGAACAGATGTGTCATAAATAGAGAAGGAGGCAATCTAAGAGGTATAGCACTACTTCTGGAACAGGTATGCTACTCACCCAGTAATGAATAAAAAGAGACATACAGGGCAGCACACAATAGCCAGGCACCATGTCATGTAAAACAGATTCTGCCCATGTACAACAAAGAGCACCAGAGTCATCCACATACTTAGCAAGAATGAGCAAG